AAAAATTTCCTCAATTTTGTTTTATTTTCTATTTGCCATTATATTTTTATTATAATTATAATTTAAGCATCTTCAATGAACCGTAATTCCATTGTGATCTTACTTAACAAATAGATAATATTTCAAAAACACTAATATTGTAATTGACTACTATTCTAGAATATTCCTTTTATATAAACATATACGTATTTAATTGTAGAGCTAGAAGAGGAAATTATCAAAAAGGATATTCTTCCGTGCTCAATTATTTTGTGTTGTAAATAAAGTAGTTGGAAATTCGAAATCAGGTGGCATAAAAATAATTAGGCAGAATTTAGTTCATTCGAGCAGCTGTCTAGCTAGGCTAAGTAATTTCAAGGACACAGGCGATGAGCTCGGACTTGACACTACTGTGCTTAGCTCAATTGGATCTAGTTAGCAAACATTACTGTCTCCAACTACTAATTTTAGTTGATCAGTAGTATGTGGCATTTAACCAATCAAATTTGACCTGATATTTGTCGCTATTATGCTCATTCTAGTATAAATATAAATTAAAAATAGAGAGCTATCATCCCACTAAACCTATTGGAACCAATCATAACTGAGGTGATGTGGTGATTGTTGTTCATGCGTTAGTTTTGTGAAGAGAAGTCATACTATGTCTCTAATAGGAAGAAACTGAAGAAACACAATACGAAGGGGAGAGGTAGCACAACACCGAAGATCTGTGCAAATGACCACTTTGATTTACATGATTTCCCTATATGTGTGTGTGTCAAACTGCAAATGAAAACTCCGCTAGCAATCTATCTTCTGTTCTGCCATTATATTAACAGATATGAAGAGAACAACTCTGGTTACCTCAGAGCTGATATTCGCTATCAACTCATCATCAAGCGTGAAACCAATCTACCTCTTCCAAACCAACAATAGGGGGTTGGCTGTATAAAGAAAGTTACCTAGAGTCTTAGTGAGATCCACCAAGTCAAGTAAGATTACAGTTTCTCACAGACGAGATTAGCATCCGGTTGCACTATATGTTACGAATAGGCAGAAACTGGAATTGATGAGCTGCTAGATGCGATACTGGCTGTTCAGTGGTCTACGGGCTGGCCTTGTAACTGGGAGGACCTGTATTAATACCCCTTGGTTACCTACCACTGAAGAGTCTCAAACTGATACGAAACAGCTGTCTAGCAGTCTGTCTAGTATACCTAACCTTCCTCCTTTTCAGTGATTACAACCTTTTAAACGAAGTGTCAGTGTGTGCGCCAACGCGAAATCGATCTCAGACCATGTGCGGTGTGGCTGGCAAGCTTTCTACCACTAAACCAACAGTGTACTACTTATATCCATTTGTGAGTAGTTATTGTTAACAAAGGATGTAGAAAATATAACTTCTTATGAACACCCTGAAATTTTGTTTTTTTACTGTAAACGTGTGTAAATGTCACAAAAGATTTATCTTCAGTGTACTGGTAGGGTCATATGTCGACATCTCAAGATTAACATGAAGACATGTTTAAATTATCAGAATGACCCAAAAGTTAAATCTTATTTGAACTGACATTTTTCAATGAATTGTTAATCCATTTATATGAGACACGAACGTTGAGTTAAGAATATGAGGCTAAAACAAAAGTGGAATGTAATTAGTTAGTGATGATAGGCTGTTGTCGAAATGAAGGTGAAATCGATAATATTTTTTAAAATTAAAGGAAGGTTTAGATCTCATCACTCTCAGAGACCCGGTGAACAACTACTAGATTAAGGTTGTTCCAAATGCACCACCATAAGTTGTACATGAATCTTGTCCTAAAATATTGATCATTTTTTTAAATTATTTTTTTCGTTCACGTTCCCCAGTGGAACATTTGGCTTCAAGCTAGTGGCTTGAAGATTCTGTAGCAGTGGTGATTATTTTTACAGGATGGAGTTGCTAGCCTCATGCCCAACCTTTCCTCTACACCAGCATTATTTCTGGCTTAGCGAGGTTAAGGAGTGCGTCGGCCGAGGATCGAACCCCGGACCATCTGCATGGTCGGCGAACGTCCAAACCGTTATGCCACCGATGCACTTGATCTTGATCACCCTCATTTAACAGCTGGCTATATGACAGTGCCTGCCAAGTGTCAGGTGATCCACAACGGAAAACTTAGCTAAGCGTTTGAAGTGAAGATGACAGAAGTAAGACAAGCTGGCTGCTTATTATCTCCCACGACGGTATTGCTAATCGTGGTGGACTGGGTTATGCAACAGACTGTGCGTGGGGAACGAGAAAACAGACAAGAACACTCCAGATGATATCGATTCCGCGGGATATTTATGTTTCATGTTACGCAAACTCGAAGACTTACAGGCAAAAACCGACAAACTAGCTGAAGAATTAGTGAGGACAGACCTCAGATGAACACAGAGGAAACGGAGTTGATGCAGATAACTAACCAACAGCAACAACAGCCAGCACTAATCACTATTTATGAAGCATTGTTTCAATCACAGGCATGCGAAACGGATGAAGATGTCAAAAGCAGTTATAATTGGAAAGGCAAGATACGCCTTCATCACTGTGAAATCAATGTAGGAATCTTCTGCACTAAGCATAAATGACAAGTCGGGATTTTCAATACCAATGTTAAGTCAGAAACTTGGAGCTCGTGCCACAGAAAGCATTCCAGCATGCTGATGCAAACTTTTATCAACAGCTGCCTTCGATGACTCCATATTAAAGATGAAATGGCCAGTCAGAAAATTCACACTCTTGTTTCTGCTCAAGCTTATCTAAAGCTATCCTAGTGCTGGACCTAACATCGTCACTAACCAAATTCAAACCAGATGAAAATTCAAAGCAAATGGGGGTTGCTGTAACTCTACAGGTACATCTAAAGGTGCCTAATTTTCTTTCTCCAAAGTAGCTTTTGCAACAACCTTCTTCGTACGTTTTCCAGGCATCTTCTTTTACGGTGTGTCGAGAAGTGGTGCAGTTACCAACTGGCAATGTTGATATCTATTGCAATTGTAGTTTGAGTCAGAAATCCAGCATTAGTGAGTGGGACGCAGGTATATCCAGATGATGAGTCATCCATAGGAGGACGCAGTTGTCCACCATCAGCTACACAGCTAACAGATATTATTATTTCTGAAAAGTCCAGCTTTAAACATCCAAAAAGGGGTTGAACTCACCAATTTATTTTGGAGGTAGTCACTGCTCAAAAAGCCCAAATTTAGGCCACTTATTCAAATCTAAACTTGATCTCTCACCAGCCAACTCTAATATCTTCGTAATCAAGTTAACTGAACCTATCTCAGGCATAAATCTAATCTTCATCTTACCCTACGCTAACGTAAAAGTAGCTACTTATCTTAATATATGTGTAAAACTTGGGCAATGTGGTAGTAAGTAATTCAATATTAGTTTGTTTATTAGATGTATCACACAGTGAGTGTAACAGTAATATTTACCTCATGACAAAGTTCCGAAACAAAATTTATTGTTCATAACCATTTCATCAAATATAATCACACGACTTCGAAAGCTCAGTTTTATAGTTTTCTTTGTTTTCTCCTATTTGTCGTCGTTGGAGTAGTAGAATTTTTCAGATATCTAGGTGCACAGATGTTGAATCATTCCTATTACACGAGTTGATTCACAGTTGGTTCGATAAACAAAGCTTCTGTTATCAATCTCTCCCTCCAACCTGTGACAATAGAATTTAAAACTCTCATCTTATCTCATCCTATTGTGTGATTGTGTGTAATTGCATGTAGTGAATGGTAAAGCTGAACTATTCTCTAGATTTCTTATCTCATTCGGGTTAGCTAATCTAGATTTTGCTGCTAGGCTTTTATGCTCGACTAGTCTGACTGACTGACCCTGTTCTACTACTTGTTTGACCCATGTATTTGACCTGACAATCATTCCAAAAGGTTATTAGGTTAACTAAATTGTTTTGTTTAATTGGCTTCACAGGATCCTATAACTGGTAAAGCTTGTTTCTATTTGAGTTTGCTAGTTTGAACGGTAGTCACTTTTATTTCTGCCTGCACTGTCAAGAATTCTATGTAGGGTCTTCGAGGTACCTTTTTTTATGGAAGTACTACTGACAGTTAAGATTCCTTATTGTTGGTGTTGTCATTATTCTGTGCATGTTTGACATGCATGTCATCATCAATATTAGTATTATTATTACCATTATTATTATCACAAACACTACTATTATTATTTTTTTACAATTCCCTACATACTCTCTGATTAATCCATCAGGGTGATTATTAAGTCTCATAGCTTCTCTTATATGCCTCACTTCCTGTCTTACATTCTCCTTGATAGTACTTAGTTTTTGTGCTCTATTAATTAGAAGTTTCAACAATCCTATTTATTACTGATATAGGATGGGATGATCGGAAGTCGAAATAGCTGTTTCAATGCGTCAGTGGGTTTTTTGTAAACACTAGTGTTTAACTTCCCACCTTCTTTCATTTTCACACTGTAATCTAACATTGGAAGCTCCTTCTGCTTCCTGACTTTCCAATTCATAAGTGAATTGAATTGCTTCTACCTTTCAGTTAACGTGTTGGAAACATCTGACTGTGTCCTGTGTTCCAAGTACGGTGAATGTGTCATCTGCACACCTCCACCGTACTTCAACGTTTGATGGAGATGAACGTTTCAATCACTATGTTTTCTCACGTATCCATTAATATATTTGCAACAATCGGGGATATTAGTGATCCCATGGCAACGTTATCCAGCAAGTAATACTGTTTCACTGTGTGATGTGTCTAATAGCTATTTAAAGATCACTGCACGACATTCAACACCTGTGTTCATGAATATTGTGTATGTCATTTACCTCGTTTCACAGAATTACTCTGACTTAGTATTCTAAAGTGATTAGTGAGGCGTTCACGCCTGCTGGATGTATAAAGTCTGACCGTTTCATGTTATACCTATTATGCATAATAATAGCGGCAATTAAAAATAATCTTTCCTTCTCTCTTTTGTTCATATTTTACAGAACACACAAGCAATTACTCAACTGAACAATGATGTTCCTGTTTGAATCCTCTTTAATTCTATTCTTGGCGGTTTCAATGACAAATCAAGCTGAAATCGGTAAGCGCCATAAGAAATACTGTCATGACGACCAATATAATTCTTTTATTTTCTTTAAATTATTACGTGGTGCTATATACTACTGATTGACTGGTGTGAGTAGTTTTGAAGATCGCTTAGATCATCTAACAGTTTTTGCTAGCCAGATCATGGTGGCTTCAACACAAAAAGTGGCTATTCCTCTCATTTGAGGGAGAGTTCACCGGCTATGTGTTCGGCTCAACTTCGGCTCAGAGAGCAGCAAATCCGTCCGAAATATCCAAGTCATGGTTAGATTGTTGAGTGAACTGGAAACAGGTGGAAACAGCATTCTGGTATTTCGATTATTTCGATCGGACTAGAAAGGAGTATCAGTTGAGGCGAGTAGTAGCCAGTTACTCACGTGAATCAATTAATAACTGATATATCGATGCTATTTCGTCTTCTTTTTGACTGCTACTCTTGGTATCAAGTTGATCACATAATTTGCTGTGAGTAATCTGTGTTTCTTCAAAGTGTCAAATACACCAATGTGATATAATTTTAAAAGACATAGGTCAGCAAAGAATCTTCTCTCCGTAACTTCACTTTAAAGCTCTAAAAGTTATATAAAGCGTTCCTAAAGGTCAGGAGAATACCAATAAAGATCACTGTTAAAAACAGAACATATCTCTCTCTAGCTTCTTGACACATATAAACTCACTGGTAAGGGGAATAAAATTCACATATGAATCGGAAAATGAACAAGGAGAATTAGCTACGTTAGATTGTAAAATAAAACGAATAGAAGAAGGTAAACTGTACACACACTAGTGTTTATAAAAAGCCAACACATTCTAGTGGATACTTCGACTTTAATTCATCTCATCTGTTATCTGTCTGTGAAGGCTGGCTTAGTTGAATGTCTTACAAAACGAGCAGTAGCACTAAATAGTACAAGAAAAGACATAAATGATAAAATAAAACAGATAGATGAAGCGTTTGTACCAAATAACTATCCTATAAAATTCATTAAGAGGATCAGAAAATATCAAAATATCACACTTCATCACATTTTTCTGACTATACACCCTATACACATTTGATTGATTATGTTAACTAATGGACTATCATCTCAACTTACACATGCACCCCAATACAGTTTCTGATATTATTTTCATTTGCCTTTACTGGCTATTTGTACTCTATTATTCATGGATTTATAACTGTAGAGCCTAAAGAACAAGTTATCGAAAACAATTGTTCACTCAAAATCTTCTTTTGATATCAGGAAAGGTCAAAAGCAAAATAAAAATAACTGTGAAACTAATAATGATAACATAAATAAGAGAGAATATAAGGCATCTACAGTAGATTTACCATATAAGGAGGGGACATCTGGGACCCTACGTAGGATTCGTAATAAAGCAGGAACCAGAGTGGCATTCAAACGCATAAACTCACTCAGGTTGAACAAGCTCTACAGGCTGAAGGTCTCAGTTGACCCAATTAAACAGAATAATATGATTTCCAAAATACCTTGCAATGACTGTGATTTAGGTCAACTACATAGGTCAAGCTAGTAGATCGGGAGGAAGTGAGATTGTCAGAACATAAGGATCTAGCCAAGGTTAGAATATGAGACCCCGAGAAGATAAGTAATTTAGGAAAAAGCTCAGCGATTCCACTTCATGCATTCACACACAACCACACAATAGGTTGCGTCGGTAGCACAGTGGTTAGGACGCTCTCTGACCGTGCACATGGTCCCGGCCACAGGCGTACTCCTTCACCTCGCTAAGCCAGTATTGAAGCTATTAAAGAGGAAAGATTGAGCATGAGTCTAACAACTCCATACTATAAAAATAGACACCGCTACCGAAACTTCAAGCGTCATACCTGAAGCCCTATTTTCCACTGGAAACGTAGAGGAATAAAAAATACACATTAGGGTAGGAGAGGGTTAAAATTCTAAGAGGTTATATAGGTAGGTGGAGAGAGAGCTTATCGAGTCAACACCAAACACGTGCAATAAGAATGACTCATCACTCATACCGGAAATGTGGAAAATACTACTACCAATCAAATCAAGCGATGGAAAGCCAGCTGGAAAGTTGTGTGAATCCATCTATATGATTATGAGCAGTGATAAGTTGTACTCGAAACGATGTCATCAGTAAACATTACTACATAACACTGTGAGAATTTATCAAAATAAATTTTATCCATAATGGAATTATACTCTACCACCACAGTGCACAAGTTTTATTCCTATTTCAGTTATTGACATCATTCGGTAAGAAAACATGTGAAATTATCCGCTAGGAAAGAAAAGGATGAGTTACGTAATCTAACAATATTAAATGTTGAATATTGCTCAGAAGTGGTTACTGTCAAGATTTTAAGCCCCTGAAAATATGTATAATATTCATATGAGTAGAAAAAACAGAGAATAGCTGAAATATACTTTAAAGTTAAGAGCACGAAAGGAAGAAATAAAGCCGAGTGAAATACTGAATGAATTTGGATCCCATATGAAATTACTTTACAAGTCAATTCCATTTTAGTAAAGGGGATCGAACAAAGCGCCATCGTATACACAGTTCATAGTTTCCCTTGCGTATAGCAAGACCTTCCACCGCGAAAAGGAGATGCAACCGGAAACTCTTCGAACAATTTGACTTCACCCCATGTATTATTTCGAAAGATATCTCTATTGATGTAGAATGACCAGTAAGAACAAAATGCTCAAGAATTGATGTATTGGTTCATTTAACTTCACCTTTCAATAACCATACAGGAAGATGTCCTTGTACGCGTCTGAACAATATCCTGTTGATGTAGCCGATATATCTGATATGCGGTTTCATATGTTTCATTATCAACTGATATGAATATTTTGTTATTATTTTTATTGTTCCCTTGAGTTCCTAGTGGAACATAGGGCTTCAACTGCACGTCTACACTTGCTTCTGTCTTCTGCTGTACTTTTCACCTGCATCCATGTTAGTCCTCACTGTTTCAACTCCTCTTCACACGATCTCCTCCATGTCACCCTTGCACTGACGTCCCACTCGTCGCTTCCCTTTCGGGTTCCACTCGGGCTATGGCCTGACGCGCGATGTCACCCAGTGGCCTCCTCAGCGTGTATCCAATCCATCTCCACTTTCTCCTGCATATTTGTTGGGCGGCTGGTTCGTGTTTTCTTTGTTCCCATAGTTTCTTGTTGGTGATTCTTTCCGGCCATCTGATCTTGAGTATAGAACTAGGACAGTTGTTGATAAAGGTCTGCAACAGGCTGTTGGAAATATTCTTTGTCACCCGCCAAGTTTCTGATCTGTATAGAAGAAGTGACTTGACGTTTGTATTGAAAATCCGAATTTTGTTGTTGATGCTGAGTGGCGAAGATTTCCAGATTGATTTCAGGCTGATGAATGTGTTTCTCGACTTCCCGATTCTCGATTTGACATCCTCGTCCGTTCCTCCTGTAGTTGAGACAATGCTCCCTCCCTAGATAAGTGAAACAAGTAACCTCTTTCAAATCCCTCCCGTTGATGGTGATTGGCGCTGGATGTTGCTGCTGTTGTTGTTGGTTGGTTATTTTCATTACCTCCGTCTTGTCTATGTTCACCTGGTATCCTGTCTTTTCTGCTTCTTCGACCAGTTTGTCGATTTTCGCTTGTAATTCTTCGATTTTGTGTGACACCAAACATAAATCATCCACGCACGAAATCCAGGTCTTCTAGGTTCTTCACGTCGGTGGTCCAGGATATCCCTGTCTTCTCGTTTCCCACTGTCTGACGCATAATCCAGTCCACCACAATTAGGAATATCATTGGTGATATTAAGCACCCTTGTCTGACTCCTGTGTTTACTCCAAACACCTCGCTGAGTTTTCCGTTGTGGATCACTTGACATGTGCCGTTGTCAAACAGCTGTTGAATAAGGTTGATGAATATATGGGGTACGCCGTAGTACTCAAGTAGTTTCCAAATTACTTCGCGTTCGACGCTGTCGAAGGCCTTCTCAAAGTCTATAAAGTTGAGGTAGAGATTTGATTGCCATTCCATGCTTTGTTCGATGATGATGCGTAGAGTTGCAATTTGGTCGGAACATGATTTGCCTTTCCTGAATCGAGATTGTTGTGGTCGGAGTTCTGTATCAAGTTCGTCCTTCATTTTCTCCAGGAAGATGCGACTCAGGGTTTTTACTTGGCATCGACAGTAGCATGATTCCTCGCCAGTTCTTGCAGAGTCCTAAGTCGCCATTCTTTTGTAGTTTCACGAGGTAACTTTTCCTGCAGTCAGTAGGCAACTTTCCCTCCTTCCAGACCTTTTGCAATAATGGAGTCAGCAGCTCTGCTGTCGTCTGTGGGTCCACTTTCAGTGCTTCAGCGGGTAAACTGATATGAATAGTTGACATTTATAGACATATTTGTGAACTTTTAGAACGCTATGAAACTGTGGAGCTTTAAAGAAACATTTTTTGCTGACATGTGTCTTCTGAATTGATTCCACCTTTTCCGAATGTAAGGAAATAAGATTTGCCTGGCGCCCAATGTCACTCAGTGATCCCTTCAGTATATGGCCGATTCATCTCAGTTTACTTCAACATATTTGTCGGACAACAGGATCTTGGTAGCTTCGCTGCTAGACTTCCTTGCTACTTATCCCCTTCTGGCCACCTGATCTTCAGTATATAACGAAGGCAACTGCCGATAAAAGACTCAAGCTTGATGGTAATGCTTTTAATGACGCGTGCGCCATACCTTTAAACCATATAAAGGCTATGATTCGACATTACTTTTGGGAATTCGAATATCTTTTCTTACACCGGGTACAGCAGATTTCTACACACTGATTGCAAACTGCCGTCCTGCTTTTCCAATCTGGGTGGTAAATGACCCCCTAATCCATGTTACCTGCAGTTGGAACACTTCTGCCTAGATAAGTTAATGAAGTGACCTCCTTCAACGTTCTCCTACTGACAACGATTGTGGGCTGTCATTGGTGGTCGGTAGGTATTTCCATCATATCTGTCTTTCCCATGTTCACTTGAAGTCCTGCCTTCGCTGCCTCTCCCATAAACTTGTTGGTTTTCCCCTGTAGATCAGATATCATTACTATCTAATCCCAATGGAATTTGTCTGAATAATCTCTAAAGAAGTTACTCCTTAGCTTACCACTACTTTAACGACAGAAGATAAGGGCCACGCAACAGATTGTTTATTGAGAAAATCAAGAGGTATTTATGGATTTTTATGTACATTGTTGTTAACGGAGAAGCAAACTCTTCCGATTGGTTATTTTCTTGCTGAAGGTTATTCTGTTATCTCTTTGTGGCCATTTCTCAGAAAATCAGGCCATATATATGCGAATCATATTTCCATACGTTAACTCCGCTGTGATTGGTTGGTGATTTTCCCAAGGTTAAGCTTTGTTAATGTTTTTCTTTGATGACCCTGACTAGGGACTTGAATACTGACGTAAATTGTTGCCCATAATTTTTGGCTAGCAGACAGCTTTCACCACACTATTACCATGTAAATACATATCTGCATTTGTGTATATTTGTCTTCTAGGTCATTCTCGAAGTGATCACCATTACACCTTGATCAATTTTCTAGAACCAAAGTCGACTTACAATCATGAAAAGCATCTTTTTGAAGAAATTGAAAACAATCAAGGCGTCGATGACGATGAAGACAACGCTCAAGTAATTCACCTAGACACTTCCTATCCACTATCAATTCAAACAGACTTATCTCAGTATCCATTGACAACGAATGTTTATAATACAGAAGAGGATGCAAATGCTATGAATAAACCAAACGACTATGTGACTTCACTATTTAACATTGAACACAATGTCAGTGATGATGGAAAGGTACAAGATGGAGAAGATGGAGAAGAAGAAGCAGGAGAAGAAGCATTGAATTATTTCAATCCATTTCTCGTTAATTTAATTTATTATCAAAATCCATTGAAGAAAAGAAATTCTGATACTAATAATCGTTTAAATTATGATAATAGTATGATAGTTAAAAAAATGCCTGAAAATGAAAGATGGTCAACACCAATTCAACCGGGCAATTCAAAAGATTTACGTAAAATTCGTAATCTGAGTAATCAATATTCTTCTTCTGAGCATAATTCATTGTCAAAGAAGAGTCAACAACTGGAGGATGATGAAGGGGATGAAGTGGGGGAAGAAGAACTTGGAGTTGGTAAGTAAATATTTACTGGGCATTATTCAGCGATGTTTCATTACCATTATTATTCTTTCCTTGGGTTTTGAGTGGAATACAAGACTTCAGCAGTACATTTTCACTGCATCCAGGCCCTCAGCACCACTTCAGCTGGCCCCATGACTGCCTTCAACTTTCTATTTCCTCTTCAATCAATCTTCTGCATTTCATTCTCACACACCCATTCAGTTTCCACTGGGGAAGCATACTTCACACGTGATGTCACCAGTAAGTCATCCAAGGGTATATCCAATCCACCTTCATCTCCCCTCACATATTTGTTGGGCGGTAGCTTCTTCGTTTACTAGTCCACAAGTAGCCTCAACTCCTCTCTACTTATCCATTCAAATATATAATTAATGGTTATTCAAGGTTATGGGTTTAAAGCCTGCTGGTGCCCAATTAATTTCTTTTATTCCTCCACGTTCCCAGTGGAACATAAGGCTTCAAGCTAGAGGCTTGAAGGTTCTGTAGCAGTGGTGATTATTTTTACAGGATGAGGTTGCTAGCCTCATGCCCTACCTTCTCTCTTTACCAGTCTAATTACTAGCTTAACGAGGTAAAGGAGTGCATCTGTGGCCGGGAATCGAATCCCGGACCACCTGTATGGTCTGCTAGCGCTCTACCTCTGTCAAAGAACTTAGCCCTAAGTTCCTATTGTAATGAAGACGTTTTCCTTTTGAACCGATAAATACTATGTATGTCTTAACTTTGAATCCAAAACACCAGTATTCCTTGAACGAAATTATATTGTTTGGCAATTAAAGTGAAGAAAACTACAAAGTCTACAAACAAATGTTAGGTACAAATGAAGTTATAAAGTACTTTTATTCGTATTTGTTCAAGTCTTCATTCAACTTGCAAGTGATCGTACCATCCGCGCCTTTGAGTTGCCCACCAATGGCTACCAGTTCCAATAAACAAACGTTCAATTTTCACGTCCATTGACAACCTCTGTGCCACCGACGCACGCCTAATTATTCACTTGATCCAAATTCATTGAGTCGGTATGAGTCAGTGGTTTAGCCACGGTCCCGGCTCTGATCCGCATCCGACAAACTCCTGGATCTCGCTTAGCCATTAGTAAGCCGGATAAAGATGGAAGGCTTAGTGTGAGGCTAGCAAACCAACCCCGTAAAAATAAAACTTCAAAGTCCAAAGCCTGAAGCCCTATGCTGCATCTGGAAAGCAAATTAACAAAAAATACCATTGAATGTTCCAAAGCGTATCATTTTTAGTTTCGCTATTATATCTTCGTACATGTAAAACACTGCTATGTAGTTGAATGATATAGACAGAATCCGTTATGTGTTTTTCGTATATCAATGGTAAATTTAGCTTTACATGGATTTCACTTAGTTCACGGTGGATTGCGGGGTGAACTGATATCTTTTAGAGAACGACTGATAATCATGAAGCACTGGAAGGATGTTTCATTTCACTTCACCTATCTTCACCACCTTTGATTTCCTCATGAGTGGAAACCAAGATCTTCACATTACTAGAATAATATTTTGTCTCCACGTACTTCTACATATCTGTTGAAGAGACTATTTCTTTTTTGGCTCGTTGGCAGAGTTTCTTGCAACCAATCCTTTTTAGCCGGCCATCTGCTATTCGTCACAGACAGAAAGCTGGCGCTGATGAAAGGTCTGCAGTAACCTGTTTGAAAGCGCTTTCCATGAAGCGCACGAAACCATGTAGAAGCGCTGATTTTACACTAATGTTGAAGATCCGGATTTTATCCATTATGCCAACTGCAGTAGATTTGCAGTCTGATGGTCTATCTTTCTATTTCTTTCCTTATCAGCTTTGTCATCCTCATCTGTACCTCCTGTCATTAACACAACGCTGACCGTTAAGGCGACTGAGATGACCTCCTTTAGATTTTTCCTGTTGATGGTGACGGATGCTTGATGTTGTTGCTTTTTAGATATCTTTGTCACCTCTGTCTTCTCTATTTCCACGTAAAGTCCTATCTTCGCTACCAGCCTCTTCTATCAACTTGCTGGATATGGACGTATATTTTCAATTTCTTGTAACCTTAGACATAAATTATCCGTGAATCTGAAATAGTATAGAGGGCTATTGTTGGTCCAACACATGACCGTTTTCTCTCTATCCCTCTCTCTCCACAAAGTATTTGCATGATAATCACTGCAGACGAAGTGAAAATCCAAATTGTGACACGATTCAAACCAAAGAGTCACGAATTATTAGTCTGACTATATATTGCTTCAGCTACCAAACTCAACTGATTTCCAGATCACCACACACGTATTACTATAACTAGTGTTGACACAGTCGTTCTCAATACATGGAGAATGTTTCAGGATTTCATCATGAACTGACATCGATTAGAGGACCATTGGAAAACCGGTAGTGGAGTAATGGACAGCTGTTTCGTCCAAATTTAGGACTCTTCGCAGTAGGCACTCACTGAGGTTCGGACCCAAAACCTTCTGGTTACAAGACTAGCTCATAGACCATTAAGCCACTGGGATAACATCCAAAGATCAGACCGTTAATCCCATCTTCTGCCAATTCATGATATGCTGTGACCACTACCGAATGTCATTGGCGACTCTTTGTCCTCATACCCGACCTGCTGTATCCCACTGATCACGACTTCCAAGTCAAACCCCAGCAAACAAACACTTGAACCTAGAGAATGTATTCGCTAAGGTTACTTACTTAACAATAAATGGAAAGGCAGGACGATGTAAACTTTCTCTTTCACTGTTACTGTCATTATTCAAACTTTGGGTTTTTGTAAAGATTTTAAATCCTTTTGAAGCAGGTTTTATCACTAATTGATATCAGTTACAGAGTCAGTTAAAACCAAAGCTTCACTGGAAATTTGTTTCATCCTAGTCTAGAACACTCTGTCTTCAGCAGTACGCACCGATGACAGAGACTAGAATTTACAAGTGATCTTGTTATATGATGCTCCTGAGTTCGATCCCCTGGTGGTGAGTTCTTAACTACAAACAAGATAAATACTCGGTTGCCCTTGGTTTACAACGATCCTTGATGGCATTTACATTGGAAATATTATTACTATGACTGAGTACAAAGAATATAAAGCATCTATCAAATAAGGAGGGGATATCTGACACCCTACGTATGATTCTGAATAAAGCAGGAATTAGAGTGGCATTCAAACTAAGAAACTCACTCACAGACAAGCTCTATAGGCTGAAGGACCCGGGGGCCCAATTAAACAAAATCATATGATTTACAAAATACCTTGCAATGACGGTGAGTGAGATCAACTACATAGGTCAAACTAGTAGATCGCGATTAGTGAGACTATCAAAAAATAAGAATTTAGCTAATTTTAGACTGGTCGATCCCACGAAGATAAGTAATTTACAAAAAGGCTGAGCATTGCATTGCACTGTATGCATTAACACACAACCACACAACAGAGTGGGTGGGGCAGAGTTAAAACTCTAAAGAGGAATATAGGTAGGTAGATGGGTGGAGAGAGAGACTGATTACTGAATCCTGCCTGGTTCATCGAGTTTACATCCAACACATGCAACAAAAGTGACTCAACGCAAATACCAGAGATATGGAAGACATTATTACTAGTCAAACCACAGGATAAAAAATAATTTTAAAATGTATTAGATGCTTGGAGGCAATCGGCAGGAGGAAGCCTCGTTTAGACCTAGATCTCGTGCTTGTTAGTACTCACCAGTCAGCAAGGCACATCTGCGATCTCGAAGGAACTCATGTCCCTTCTGAGATAGGAACCCGCGTCAAACAGTGCTGCAGTCAGAGACGTTACCACTGAGCTATTCAGGCTCGTGACTGACCTCCTGTAGGACTGCACTGGATATTTTTGATTGGACACTAGTCAGTCACTAGTGTAATGTGTCTAGTCCTATCTTTGGTGCAGACTGAATTCTATCATTCAAGCTTGCAGTGTGGCCACCATGCCACTAGGTGGCTCGACATCACAGTGCATTGTGAAATGTTGGTAGTAGAGGGTTGGTTAAAATGTATTTCAATTCACATTTTAACATTCTAACAAGTTATTTCTTATTTCCCACCTTATTGACTAACAAGACTCGTCTTAATTCTCATCACATTATATTTATTGATAACACTAATTGTTTTTCCGAATGTATTTCATCTTCCTTTCTGTTTCACGCATGTCTTGTGTTGATTTTATTCATATGTCTAGTCAGGTTTCACTCAGGTATACACACGAAGCAAGAAAGTTGTGTGAGTACCTTGATATGATTATAAGCAGCAATAAATTATGCTCGAAAAGTGGTCATCAGTAATTATTACTGTATAGTAGTGTGGGAAGTCATGACCAGTAGGGTGTAGCAGGTCGGCTGTGAGGACAAACACTCACTGAAGACATTGGCTAGCGGTTGCGCTATATCGTGAATTGGCAGAAGTTAGAATTCATGAACTGGCCAGTGGATCGAGTCCCAGCGGTTTAACGGTATGCGAGCTCGCCTTGTAACCAGAAGGTCCTGCGTTCGAACCCTGGTGGGTGCGTACTGATGAAGAGTCCCAAACTAGGACGAAACAGCTGGCTGTCCAGTACTCCCAGTTTTTCCAATGGTTCTCTAACCAATGTCAGCTCAGGATGAAATCCTGTAACCAATCAACCAAATCCCTATAAACTAATACTTGAAAATTATATCCATAATGGAGTTATACTCTACCACAGTGCCCAACTTCTGTTCTTATATCAATTATCCCTACGTATATTTTCCAAACGAACTCAACTTTTTCACCAGTGATAATTTCCAGGGAAAAAAACAACCCACAAATAATAAATTTAACTCAAAAGGTTATTGATTAATGCCCATTTGAATTTAGAATAAATATATAGATATCCTTTCTTCTTTGCTTATGTCATCAATTCACGCTAATCTGTAATTAATCTCTTCTTTTTCAAGAAAAGATAAGTGGCAGGGAGCTAGGGGTTTGAGAAGAGTTTGACTGTCTCTCAAATATCAGATAAGAAACTTAAATTGACATTTGCCATCTCGGAAAACTCAGAGAAGCCTTTGAAAGGAAGATAGGGGTAGGACAAAGCTGCCTACTTTCACTGATTATATTCCTGGATCATGTGTTAGACTGTGGACAACTAGAAGATAGGACTATGTTGGAACAAGAAGAAGACTCTGGACTTGGAAAATAATGTCATACAAACTCAAAGAATTACAGACAAAAGCTAAGAAGTTGGTAGAAGATTCAGGTAGCGAAGTCAAAGGAGCTTCAAGGGAACATAGAGGAGACACAGGTAATGAAGATAACTAACCAATAATAGCAAGAATCAGTTACCATCAATGAGAGAAATTCAAATGAAGTCGTCTATTTTACTTATTAAGTGAAAGTGGTATAATAAGGTGAGCAGTCAGTCGAGTGCTAGGTAACGAAGGAAATCAATCGACGAGGTTGTGAAGTTATATTGATTGAGATGTTTAGAATACGTGTTACGTGTTCCTGGGCATCACCTGGGCAGCAACGGCGAACACCTCCTACAAAAGTGAAAAATGCAGCACACAATTTGGATGGAATGAAAAAACCTATGACTAATGACGTACTTCCAGTTCAAGGGCCAAATATATGAACAAGGTAAAGGAATACCCATGGGATCGCCAATATCAGGTTTGATTGCAGAAGCAGTAATGCAAAGGCTCGGAAACACAATCCTACCAAAGATCAAACCCAAAATTTGGATATGCTACGTAGACGACACATTTTTAATAATCAAAAGAAACGAGATAGATAAAACTCACAACTTAATAAACAACGTCTTCAACGACATCAAATTCACAAGAGAAGAGGAATCTGAGAACAAAATTCCATTTTTGGACGTTTTAGTCAAGCGAACAACCACAGGGAAATTAGAAACTCATGCGGACTAAATACTCAATTACAACATCAACAATCAAATAACATACAAAAGGAATTGTAAACAAACACTATTCTGTACATTAGATATGAGCACTGTTCAGAATAAAGCTATTATTATTTTATTTTTAATTATCAGAATAGTTATTCTCAAACTGATGTTCACTCGTAATACATTCTAGCTGGAGATCAATCAGATCTCAAATCTGAGTATCAGTGCATCGCGCGTTACTGAATAACCCTCAAATGCATTTCGTGGCAGATGAAATGAATCAAGTTTGATGTAAAGAATGGTACTGTTGATATAAGAATAGAACTTGAGCACTGTGGTGGTAGAGTATAATTCCATTGTAGGTCTCACATTATTATGCAGCAATATTCACGGATAATCGCGTTCTGAGCACAATTTATTGCCGCTCATAATCATATCAAGGTACTCACTCACACAACTAACTTCGTTTATATAATTCCAATTCTTTTCATCGCTCGATTTGATGATTGGTAGTAGTATTTTCCATATTTCTGGTATGAGTCATCAGTCATTTCTATTGCACATGTTGTGTTGTGTGTAGACTCGATAAACCAGGATTCAGTAATCAACCCCTGTCTCTCTCCACCTACCTATATTTCTTTTTAGAATTTTGACTCAGTCCCACTCATCGTATTGTGTGGTTGTCTGTTGATGCATGCAGTGCAATTGCTGAGCTGTTTTCTAAATTACTTATTTTCTCCGGGTCAACTATTCTAACCTTAGCTAAATTCTTATGTCCCGACAATCTGATTACCCCCGATCTACTAGTTTTACCTATGTAGTAGACTTCACTGACAGTCATTGCAAGGTATTTTGTAAATTATATTATTTTGTCTAACTGGGTCAACCTACAGGATCCTTTAACCTACTCAATGATAAAAATTAGTTGTCACTTGTACTATATCACATAACTGATGGATAATAGAATTCACCGATCACTGGATACAACAGCTAGGGACTTGAAAATTCTTGTTTTAACCCCAAGTGGGGACAAAGTTAAACTATCACAATCTATGGAACGCGACGTTACGACTGTCTTTGAGCCGGCTTTTACACAAAAATGCCGTTTATCTCCAAGTGAAATACAGAGAATAATGTTGGAACACATTAAAAAGGATATTTTTCCCTGACACGCCTTAAAAATATCTCCTAATTACACTGAAGAGCATCAGCTTTTAAGTTCAACCAGTTTGTGTACATGTATTCATCGAGGTGACTAAATTATTATTATTATCATTATTATTGTTTCCTTTAATTCTTAGAGGAACATATATGGCTTCAGCCGTGCGTCTCCATTGCGTTCAGTTCTCTGCTATAGTCTTCACCTGGCTCCAAGTCTGTCTACATGCTTTCATCTCCTCTTCGAATGACCTCCTCCAAGTCACCCTTGAACTGACGACCAACTCGCCGCTTCCCTTTCGGCCGGGTTCCACTCGAGCAATGGCTTGTCTAGTGATGTCACTTGATGGTTTCCTCAGAGTATGGCCAATCCATCTCCATTTCTTCCTGCCTATTTGTTTCACAATCGGTTCCTGCTGTGTTGGTTCGCTCATTGCCAGAGATCCCCGTCGCTGATCTTTTCTGGCCATTTGATTTGATTATTTAGCGAAGAAAACTGTTAATGAAGGTCTGTAGTTTGCTTGAGATGCTCTTCATGACGCGACAAATCTCTGATCCGTATAGTAAGTGGCACTGACTTCACATTGGAGTTGAAAATCCGGATCTTATTTTTGATGCTGAATGCTGTTGACCTCCACACAGACTTGAGAGTAGTGAAAGCTTGTCTTGCTTTTCCGATCCTTGCTTTGATGTTCTCATCAGTTCCGCCTGTAGTTTAAACGATGCTTCCCAGGTAGGTAAAAGAGGTTGTTTCTTTCAGATTTCTCCCATTTATGTTGATTGTTGTTTGTTGTTGCTGCTGTTGCTGTTGGTGTTGGTCAGGAATCTCCACCTTCTCTATATTCACCTGAAGTCCTGTCTTCTCTGCATGCTTCCCCTGTCAACTTGTTGCTTTTCACTTGCATACGTCCAGTTTGTAGGAAATCAGACATATATCATCGGTGAACTCCAGATCCTCCAAGTTTTTTGTGTGAGTCCATTTTATGCCTGCTTCCTCATTGCCCACTGTTTGTCGCATTATCCAGTCTACTGCAATCAGGAAAATCATTGGCGATAGTAGGCAGCCAGCTTGTCTTCCTCCTGTCCTCACTTCGAAGGATTCCGTAAGTTTCCCACTGTGGATTACTTGGCATGCGGCATTGTCGTACAGCTGTTGGATGAGATGTATAATTGCTGGTGGCACTTCTTGGTAGTAGCGAAGTAGTTGCCAAATCACCTCTCGATCGACGCTGTCGATGGCCTTTTCAAAGTCGATGAAGTTGAGATAGAGAGGTGACTGACACTTCAAGCTTTGTTCAATGGTGATCCGTAATGTGGCGAGCTGATCAATGCATGACTTGTTGCAGGATTTCATCATGAGCTGACATCAGTTAGAGAACCATTGGAAGGTGGGTAGTCACCTGGGGTTCTAGTGAGAAGTCGTGACCAGTAGGGTGCAGCAGGTCGTGCGTGAGGACAAATACTCGCCGAAGACATTGGCTAGGGGTCGCGCTATGTCATAAATTGGCAGAAGTTAGAATTCATGGACCACTGGATCGGGTTTCAGTGGCTTAATGGTATACGACCAGAAGGTCCTGGGTTCGAATCCCGGTGGGTGCGTACTGCTGAAGAGTCCCAAACTAGGACTCCCAGATTTTCCAATGGTTCTCTAACTGATGTCAGCTCATGATGCAATCCTGTAACCAATCAAATCCCTACAAACCAACACTTGAAAATCAATGCATGACTTGTTTCTCCTGAATTCAGCCTGTTCCGGTCGAAGTTTTCATATAGGGTGACTAAAGATGAATTCTGTTTGTGATCCACTCATCGCTCTTATCCTGTTTTTCAGTATTCTTCAAAAGCCTTCCATTGAATTAGTATGGAAACTAGTAAGGGGATCAACGACTGTTTACCAGAAAAATTCAGCTAATAAGAATCAGACTCCATAACCCCAAACCTAAACCCTAACCTTAATCAGAACCCTAACCCTAAACGTAACCCCAACAAGATATTGACCCATTATCTTAACAAGGATGAGATCTGCATCTCAATTCCTTCAATGTGGCGCTATAATAATGGTAGGTGCCGTCATCCTAAGACTAGTACGCACTCACGGTCACTGCTGCGTCCACACTTAGGTATCTCCATAATTTAACTTGACTAAAATGAGATCATAGGTAAGCCATGCTGAAGAGTTTCACATTAGGACGAAACAGTCATTTACTGCTTTCTAATTTTTAATGTTTCAATTAAGTATTGACTAATTTTATCTCTGATATACACATATATTTTTTCCATTGCTAAATAATTTAGGTTATCTTCCCATACACTCCGTTATTGAATCATCAACTGAAGACTTTCCATCCAGTGAAAATAATTTCCGTTATTGGGTACATCACCGACAATCCAATAGAAAACAATAATTAATATTATCAGTCAAGTAAGTGGGAAACATTTTTTAGAGAAATACTTCTGGTAGTCAATAATGAATACCTCGTGTTGCACTCCACTCTACTATACTATACTCTGTCTTCCCCTATACATTTAACTACCTCAATAACGGTTTTCGTCCGATGAAGTCAGTCAATTCATGTACAACTGTGAATCGCTTATAAAGATTTTACATTGTTACCTTTGTGGTAGCCAACGATGTCATTATAGAGTTTACTCTTTGTGTTGTATGCGGCCTGTTAGTTAGACGTGCTTGTATTTGAGTGCATTAAAACTTCGTGTCAGAATTCAAGGCAAAGCACCTGTTCAAAGTAAAACAGAGGAAATCAGAACTTGGTTATATGAAACCATTTGGAAATTAGATATAATGCAGAAGATCTGTAGCTCAAGTGGATGATTTTGATATAATTGTGTGTCATATCATGTCATGACATCCACTCCCTCATATCGCCTCACTGAATACAGACGACCACGGACATCAATTCGACTGAGACAACGATAAGATATTAGACAGACGAAACACGAAGAATGCCAGGGAATTTTTAGAAGCCTGGTGTTCCAGTGAATCATCAATCAGTAGACACATCGGCATACCCGGAGAAATTAGTCAGGAAATATTTAAGGAATTGTAAAAATAAAATAAATAATGATAGTAGCGATAGTGACAATAATAATAATATTAGTGACGGCACCAACAATGAGGAATCTAAATCATCAGTAGGAATTCCATACAAGGAAGGAACCTCGGAGACTTTACGCAGAATTCCTAACAAGGTAGGAATGAAAGTGGCATTCAAGCCCACACACTCAATTAGTAATAAGCTTTGTCGGTTAAAGGATCCTGCCATAGGAGCCTTTAAAACAAAACAATTTAGTTTATCTAATACCCTGAAATGATTGTCAGGTAAAATACATAGGTCAAACTAGTAAAACAAATGCAGCCAGTCAGACCAGCCGAGCATAAAAACCTAGCAAAATCTAGATTATTTGACCTGAATATAACAAGAAATCTAGAGAATAGTTCAGTTAGAGCACTCAATACATGCAATTGCACAAAACTATCCATACAATGAGGTGGGATCGGATGACAGTTTTGAAATCTAATTTCACAGGGTGAATGGAGAGATTGATAACAGAAGCTTTATTTATCGAACCAACTGCAAATACATGTAACAGGAATGATTCAACACCTTCCGATCCGGACATCTCGTAAATTCTAGTACTCCCATGATGACAACTAAGAGAGAAGTAAGGAAACTACAAAACCCAATTTTCGAAGTCGTGTGATTATAATTGATATGACTATGAACAGCAATAAATTTTGCTTGAAACATCATCCAGTAAATAATACTGTTTCACACTGTATGATATATCTAATAAACAAACTAATATGGAATTACTTACTACCACAGTGCCCAAGTTTTACACATATATTAACACATCGGCATAGTTAATATTTACCAATCGATAAGAAGGAAATCTCATTTACAAAGGATCAAACTTCAGATCAAGGAAACAATCAACATCAATATTAATACAAGTAGCCTAGATGGTATGAAAACACACGAAAACAGCCAACCACGTTCAAGGTCACCCACCAGAAGAGATGACTCATAAACTCGTGGAGAAATCTAAAAGCTCACTTCAATTTGAATTGAAGTATGCGGTGGAGATGTTGTCTAGTAAATAGGGCAATGAGAGCTTCGCAATTAAACCATCCAGCTAGCTCAGAGAACACAATCACATCAAAATTATTTGTAAATTTAATGTGTCAACAAAAAGTAACGAATAATACTCGTTGTGTCTCAATAACTTAGCGAGTAATACTTCAAAGTTTGAAATTTCATTTGCCCAAAAAGAAACTGGTTTTTCTTCAGAATGCAGTTAATCAGGGTTGGATCATACTTTTGTAATCTATTACTAATTATCATATAAGAAAGGGCAAAATAAGATTCAGAAGGATTGGAGCCCAAGATGGATGGTCTTGTTGTTGTAGTTGTGTTCTGTGAGCTAGGTGGTGGACTGTATGAAGGTGAGAAAATATACAGAAACAATCACTTATATCCAGTGGTCCCCAATGCAACGGGGAAGGCAAGAGACATGGTAGCTGACTCTTTTTTATTGAGGAAAACCACAGCGTATTCATACATTTTAGACACATGTATGGTTGGCTAAGTCAGAGGATAATAGACTTTTCTGATAGGTTGTCAATATTCTGATGGTCAAACCTTTAGATGATAAGTTGTCCATGTTAATAAACTATTATGATTGGTTGTTCACTTTCCGAAAGTTAAACTTCGAGATTATTTCCTGATCACAACGTAAGCTACATCCAGATTCGAGAAATTGACGCTTCTACTACTCAAGCCACTGGCTTAAAATGTTGTTTTCTATTCTGGCTACTTCTGCTACAATTTGCATCTACATACTACTGATAATTCTTGTCAGTAGTACACTTCACACCAAAAGAAATTGCTAATAAACTCGTGGAGAATTCTATAAGCTGACTTCAAATTGAAATATCCGCTGATGATGTGTTGTCTAGAAGAAAGACATTGAAAGCTTCTCAAATAAACCATCCAAAAAGGAGAACACATCCACATCATAAAGAGAAATAATTTACAATTGTTTGAGTTCACTGAATCAGAATGCATTGCCTGTGTCAGCATATAACCTTAAATGCATCCACGATGCCTTGTGATGAACTTCATGTTATTTGAATGTTCAAATATATTTCTTACAAAATATATGATTAACCAGAAGTTAATTGGTGGATGGTGACCAGCAGGGGAATCCAGGAAAAAGCACATTTTGTCCTATTTAGGACTCGTCAGCTACTGGATGTACCTGCATTCCGCAGTGAGTGATAATGTCCCCACCGAGGCTAGAACCCAGTGACCATCCTGGGTCTCACTGATGAGTCACCATCCACCAATTAACTTTTAATTACTTGCCAAAACATCGTCGAATCATCTGCACAAGAAGGCGACACGTCAACTTGAGTCCAAGTACTTCGGTCTAATCAAACGACGGGAAAATCTAAAGTTGAATTAAATTTGATTAGCTATCAGATATGATTTATCTACAATACAAAAGTAAGTGACATCACCATGGATAGAACCTAGTACCTTAAGGGGATTTAGAGAAACCACAGAACTGTCAGCCACATTAGTCATGATCAAATACAAAATCAATAAATCTGAATATAACAAAATGATGCGAGTTCCACTTCCCCTCTCCACAAATTATTATACTGAGGAAATAAATGAAACATTAGACAGCTGGAGACAATCTATAGGAAGCACCGAATCTAGGTTTCGTGGTTGTCAACACTCGACAGCATGGCATATCTTCAGTCTTGAAGAAACTCATACCTCCCTCCAATGCCTTCAATCACTTAGCATAAATTCAGAGTGCACAGTGGTGGCCAAATCACATTCCAGACTTGACTGATAGGATTCAGTCTACACAAAACCAAGGACTAGACACATGACATTGGTTGAATAATTTGGGATTATATAATCATAACTTCTCAAACATCTCGAAGATTACTTCCATTATGGGTAAATTTTGTTTTGATAAAGTCTCACAGGTATAACACTGTTAGAGTCTCACAGTGTTATACAGTGATATTAACTGATGACCATGTTCCGAGCACAATTTATTGCTCATAATCATATCAAGGTAATCACACGACTTCCTAAATTCATTTATATAGTTCCATTATTTTTCACTTGATTTTCACTTGATTTGATTGGTAGTATTATTTTCCATATTTCGGGTATGAGTGGTGAATCATTCCTATTGCAAGTGTTGGGTATAGATTCGATGAACAAGGATTCAGTAGTCAATCTCTCTCATTCTCCAAGTACCCATATTTCTTCTTAGAATTTTAACCCTCTCCCACCCTATTGTGTGGCTGTGTATCAAGGCATGCAGTGAAATGCAATGCCGAGCTTTTTTCTAAATTACTTATCTTCTCTGGGTAGTTGATGTTAAATAACTATCCTATAAAATTCATTTGGAAGATTGAAAAAGGTCAAAATAAAAATAAAAGTAATTGTGAAACTAGTAATGATAACATAAATAAGAGAGAATATACGTCATCTACAGTTATACCACATAAAGAGGGGACATCTGAGACCCTACGTAGGATTCTAAATAAAGCAGGAATTACAGTGGCATTCAAACCTACAAACTCACTCAAGGACTAGCCCTGTAGGTTAAAGGACCCTGTTGAACCAATTAGACAAAATAATATAATTTACAAAATACCATGCAATGACTGTGAGTTAAGTGAACTACATAGGTCAAACTAGTAGGTCAGGAGTAGTCAGATTATCAGAACATAAGAATTTAGCTAAGGTAAGAATGGTTGACCCAGAGAAGATAAGTAATTTAGAAAAAAGCTCGGCATTGCATTTCACTGCATGCCTTGATACACAGCCACACAATAGGGTGGGAGAGGGTTAAAATTCTAAGAAGAAATATGGGTACTTGGAGAATGAGAGAGATTGACTACTGAATCCTTGTTCATCGAATCTATACCCAACACTTGCAATAGGAATGATTCACCACTCATACCCGAAATATGGAAAATAATACTACCAATCAAATCAAGTGAAAATCAAGTGAAAAACAATGGAACTATATAAATGAATTTAGGAAGTCGTGTGATTACCTTGATATGATTATGAGCAATAAATTGTGCTCGGAACATGGTCATCAGTTAATATTACTGTATAACACTGTGAGACTTTATCAAAACAAAATTTACCCATAATGGAATTACACTCTACCACAGTGCACAAGTTTTTTTCTTATATCTCGAAGATTAGTTCCAGGTAACCTACCATATGTTCCAAGACTTACAGACATGATGAATTAGTAGTAGAACTCTCATGGTCGGATTCCTTAAAAGTGTTTGGTGAATAAATCTAGCCAAAGGGAGGTCATGGACTCTAGTTTCATGCCTTCAACCTTAAAGAGAGTGATATATTTATAAACCCACAAGAATCACTGCCTCAGTCAGAAGTGCCAACACTGACCTTTATGAGCTGCGATCAAAACTTTCGTCTGATTTACCTAAAACTATCCGTCATTAGTCCTAGGTATACCCCAACTATATTGTAAACGCAACTGACAGATCGAAGTCAGCATTAAATAGTCGGAACATGCCAGTCATTACACTGTAGCGACTAAATGGAATTTTTAAAAATCTCTTTATCATTTATCTTACATTGAAATAAATAATTTTATAATTCTTCAATATATTGCTAGTTAGAGCGACACCGAATGTGTCTTATATGACTCACTAACTTCTGTCTGTTTCCCATTCTCTCTACTGATTATGTAAAAGTATTACTTTTAGAAAAACTAAAGTATCAATTGTTTCCATCGTAACTATGCGTATTATTTCTTTTTAACGTCATTTATGCATATCTCAATCTCAATTTGCTGAACAAGTTGCGTATTTTATTTTTCTTCCGCACAAGAAACAAATATTTATAAACTCGAGAAAAGAAAATGACAAAAAATAATTGATAGTCTATTCTTACTACTATTTTGACAGAAAAACACAAATTAAAAGGAAATAATAAATCTAGAGAAAGAGCAAATTCAAAATAATAATTATTATTATTGTTTGTTTATTTACACTTCGAAATTTCTACATTTTTTAGGCGGTATTTCAATCCAAAATCAACACGCAAATCTATAAATGTACATGTCTGCCCACCTCAAAACAACCAATCACAATTAACGATTCTTAAGAAAATCAATAATATAAGACAGACATGTTGGCTCGTCCAATCATAATCATTCGTCTCAAATGACACATATTTATATATAAATACATGCGTATAACCGAAATGCAACCAATTTTTTTTGGATACTTCCGGATACAGTTTTGCAGTGATTTTTGTCTCATTTTTAATGTCTTCGCTGTTTTGTTTGTCCAATATTCTCTATCTGTGTGTGTGTTAGTGTTGGTATTCAAGGTCAAATCCTGCAATTTGACATTCCAATTGAATTTCTTTATCAAGAATAAACATTTTTTTTAAAGGTTTTACAATGTTTACTCTCGTTTTTTTCTATCGATTCTTTGCATTTCTCAAATGTTCATTATTTTATTTTATTAATTTTTTGTTTGTTTTTATAACTTGTGGTTACTGCAAAGTTTCAATCAGCTGTTCAGTGCATGAATTTCTCATCATTTTTTATCACATTTAACGTTGTTATCTCTTATCATTGAAGATTTTGTGAGAATCATTAAAAATTAATTTGAGTCAAGAAAGGTGTTACATAATATGAAGTTGATCAACTAATCCCTAATGGGTGGATTTTATGCCTATAAATTGTTATTATCTGTAAAACAAAAAAATTCATTGAAAACGTGATGTAAAATTCATGACAAGGCTTCTGATCTATCGAGGTCTCATCAGCTCCTCAGTTTTTCAATTTATTCAGTTCCTAGTGGAAGCCTCAAAGTTTCAGTTGATGTGACATTGTTTTCTTATGAGGCGATATTACTGGCCTCATATGTAACACTCACCTTTTACAAGACTTCCAGTCAGCTAGTAAATTAGGCGAAGTTTAAGCGTATGTCTGTAGGAAATCGAACCTCAGACCAACAGCGCTAGCGGTTGGTGAGTATTCCACGAATTAACCACCGACTCATCACATCATCAGTAGTTACTACTAACCAAATAACAATGAGTCAGTCTAATGAAACATAATTGAAGTGTCCTGCATAGAAGTCGACAGTTAAATGGGGGTGAAGATATCGGTACAATGTTATCAATATACGGGAATTTAAAATAACCATTTAATTAGATGTCAACTAGTATCGGTTGAACAAGAAGAGATTCTTGTTATTCACTGACCTACTAGTTTTAGAAATGATGGGATAGATTCCCGATGGGGACAAAATCACTCACTGGGAATGCAATCACAATCAGATGAAAAGCCCCAAATAGGACGAAACGTATGCTCTGAAAGCGACTGCTAGTCACAGTTTTTTTATGTCTGGATATCAGGTTTATGTCGCAATATGAACAATAGTAACAACAATTTGCTTTATTCCAAAACAGTAGTACTTATAATACAGTGTGGAATTTTCAACATTTGGTACAATATTGCTTCTGATTTACTCAACAGCAGTAGAAAAAGTACATTACCGGGTACACTTAACTAAAATTATTGATAAAATCTATCAACATTTGGCATCAGCAGAAACTATAGACTCAGAATGTACAAATGCAAACTATGATAGTAATAATAATAACAGTATTGATAGCACATAATGACAAGATTATGGAGATAATGAGTGTAACTATAAAATTACAAAAATGGGGAGAATAACTGAACAGTTTTTGTCATGCTAATTACACCATAAGTCGTAAGTTTCGCATTTAACACTAACTGTATCATACAGAAGGCTGGTAGACCAAATAAGGTCTCTCCATACCAGTTTGTTTATTAGATGTATCACACAGTGAGTGAAACAGTATTAATCACTGAATGACAAAGTTTCGGACAAAATGTATTGTTCATAATCATATCAATTTTAATCACATGACTTCTATTTATCATCATAGGGTAGTAGAATTTTCAAGATATCTGGGTGGATGGGTGTTGAATCATTCCTATTACATGTGTTGATTAGCAGTTGATTCGATAGACAAATGAGGAATTTTAATCATCAGTAGTAATTCCATACAAGGAAGGAACCTCGGAAACCACCTTACAGAGAATTCCTAACAAGGCAGGAATAAAAGTGACTGGCATTCAAACCCACAAGGTCAATTAGAAACAAGCTTTGTTGATTAAAGGACTCTATGGAGCCTATAAAACAAAACAATTTAGTTTATCTAATACCCTGCTGGAACGATTGTCTGGTCAAATTCATAGGTCAGAGTAGTAGAACAAGAGCAGTCAGACTAGCTGAGCACAGAAACCTACCAACAAAATCTAGATTTTTTTATTCCTTCACGTTCCCTGTGTGAAACATAGGGCTTCAAGCTAGAGGCTTGAAGTTTCTGCAGCAGTGTTTATTTTTACAGGATGGGGTTGCTAGCCTCATGCCCAACCTTTCCCCTTTACCAGCTTTTTAGTTCTCGTTTAGCGAGGTAAAGGAGTGCGCCGGCCGGGGATCGAACCCCGGACCATTTGCATGGTCGGCGAGCGTCCTAACCGCTTTGCTACCGACGCACAAAATCTAGATTAGTCGACCCAAATAAGATAAGAAATCTGGAGAATAGTTGAGCTATAACACTCACTACATGCATTTACCAACAACCATACATTAGGTTGGGATCGGATGACAGTTTTAAAATCTAGGTGAGTCTAGGTGAGAACATCATCACTCACTGCGGAATGCAGGTACATCTAGTAGCTGACGAGTCCCAAGTAGGACGAAATGCGCTTCTAGGATTCCACTGCTAGTCACCATCCACCAATTAACTTTTAGTTTCACTTACTAGCTGGCCAGAAATTGGATGGTGTGAACTAATTTATCTCCGTGGGCTGAAAGAACCATGTACACCATTGATGAACTCGACCCTAAACGAATGAAACTGTTGTCTGGTGCTTACATCACTTCAGTTTGGCTGGCTGACAAGAACTACTGGTTGTTCATGTGATCGATATCCAACTACTCATTTCAATCAACCAGTAGTATATAGTTTTATGAGTAATAATTACTGCTTTAATATAGAAGGTAATTAGTGAATGGTAACTAGCAGTGGGATCCAGGATAACGTGCATTTCTTCCTATTTTGGACTCGTCAGCCACTGGATGTACCTGCATTCCGCAGTGAGTATTGATGTTCCCACCGAGTTTCGAACCCAGTGCCCATAGTTTCAAATGCTAGAGAATTACCAACTAGACCACTTGGGTCACGACCTCCTATCATGTTAATTATTTAAGTCAATTTTAGATTTCCCCCTTGATTGATTGGACCTAAATACTCGACCTCAGGTTGACATGTCAGCTTCTTGTGCAGATACTTCGACAATTAATTAGAAGTTAGTTGGTGGATGGATGTGCATTTCGTCCTATTTGGGACTCTTCATCAGACATCCTCAAACCATCTGCACAAGAAGCCAACATGTCAACCTGAGACCGACCACTTCGGTCCAATCAATCGACAGGAAAATCAAAAATTGCTTGTAATATAATTATTGATGATGCTTCACTGTTGGGCGGAGGGGAAGGGTGGATGCAAACGACCACATTTAACTATTTCGAAGATAGGTTTCATAGCCATCTAAATCGCTGGCATCCTTGAAGTACTCAACAACTATTGATATATCGGGAAAACTGAGAAAAGTTTGCATTCATACACCATTTGATTCAAGTTCAATGGCTGATTGAGAAATTGTTCGCCTCATTAATTGACCAACTTAAGTTTAGTTGTTGATGAACTCATGCGTGAATAATCTTGTATGGTATAAGAGTTTTCAAGGGTTCTCTAATTGACATCTATTTGTATCTCGAAGTGTTCTGAGGTATGAAGTTCTAAGGGAACTTCGAAATAATAATTAATTATTCCTGACTGTATTTCATTTCCCCTGTCATATTTATGGGTATGAACAATTGTGACCCTGCCAATAGAGACAACTTTACTAATATTAGTGATACTAGTGCTAACAAACTAGATCTTGCCCATTTACTCGCGTTCTTCTATACACAGTCTTTCTTTCAATCAACCCCACAACTTCAGAACTAACACGGAAAGAATGAAGGAAGATTATACCGTCTTAAAACATTTATTTCTCCTTTCCCCCCCCCCATGGGGGAAACACTTGACAATCTGCCTCACTCTTCTTCCAATCGGTGGCATCTGTTTCTGAAGCTCTTTGGTCTGCTGTCCAAACTTGCAGGCTTCTTGGCATTCGATAATTACAGTCTCGTCTGTAGAACTCGTTGGCTGTTTTGTGATTTTCACCAGCTCAGCCATGTCTATAGGTTGAACTTCATTCACTAAATTCAGCTTGTGAAAAGTAGCTATGGGGAATCCTTCCATAGGCTGCGTTTCTGAATCTTCGGCTAAGTTTCGTGATGGATATCACTAAAGGTTTGTCATTGCTTTTGCTAAAAACATTGGATCTACATCTGTACCAAGTCGTAGGCTCCTAAATTTCTGTAACACCCCTTGTTTGTCTGCCAGTCTGTTAAACTCTGAGTTACATTCGTCCATGATATCTCTGCACCACCTCTACACGAAATGTCCCCAACACAACCATCCGGATGCTCGTCAGCCTAGCAGAGGCTTCGAAATCCCTCAGGAATATCTGGATATCTCCCTCCTCATAAGCTGTAGGCCACAGAATTTTCATCTGGTGGAAGGATGTGACATCAGGCAAAATGACAGGACATAGCAGTATTCGGTAGCAAGAGTGCTTATTAGGCGAAACAATGTAGAGTTATGGTCAAATGCATAAATCTTAAACTGGAATTTGTATTTGCCCATTTTCTTCGTTTTGTACATCTTCCGTCTTAGCTTCCTGCTCACCATATTAATTAACAAGGATCTTTCATCTCTCTTTGTCGTTTATTCCATCCTTCTGTTATTCAAAATTATTGTTAAATGTGTCAAGCACAATGAGCTGCTTATGAAACCTTGTCAGTGACACTTATCACAGATGGTGAATTGCTTAATTTTCCCATACCAATGGTCAATTACACAAAGATCAATAATGTCAACGTCCACAATTGTTGAAAAACTTATGATGGACGTATCCGCGAATGGTGTGGCATTCTAAGACTACTTAACTACGGAAGAATAAGTGATAACTGGGTCTCGGTAGGAATCCCACGGATGACTGTTGTCTTACTGGTGTAGAGAACTACAATCTGTGCCCCAAAACGTAGCTGATTGTAATGATTAATAAATATTTATGTATTTAGTCATGAAAGCAATACCTATCTAGTGTGACACATGCAAAAACTGAGGATATCTTATACAGTTAGAATGAAGAGTCAACGTATTGTTTGAATGTTAGTGCGAAATGTACAAGGTGTAAAAAGTTTAAGTGTCTTCGTCAAACTGCTTACTAATAAAAACCACAGATACTGAATGAAACGGTAGCTTGATATCGATTAACTATATTATCAGGAATAGGT